ATCGATTTTTTCTTGGGAAGAAATTTAGATAAAAAGAATTTGCAAGAATTGTAAAGTGATTCTAAGAGAGAGCCTTATTATTCAATATAGGGTCGTGGTCTTTGATATTTGTTTCAAGATTAGTAAATAGAAAATTCATTATTATTCTCAGAATTAAGTAGTGGATACTTAGAGGTGAGAAATATTTGGACTTTCAAAAATAGTTTAGTAGAAGGAGGGTAGTTGGACTGTGATAAGTGTTTTTTTGTAGTAATCTTTGGTGTATATTTTGGCACTTATATGATTCCTTTTTAATTAGTTATAGTTAAAATTTCCTTTAATTCCATGCAATTTACAATCCATACCAAATTAAATCTAGCCACTTAAATTTATTAGTTATTAACCTTTATTTGTGTGATTATATAAAGGCATTTGATAATCTTTTCTTGTGTTAAATATTAAGCGCAAGACATGATGAAATGAAGAAGTGAAAAGAAGACAAGCAAAGTCCACAAAGCCTGCAAGTCTCGCTTGAGCGAGACATGGCTTGCCTAACGATAACGTCAAGCTGTAAAGTGTACATTCTGCCTCATTCTCACTTGAGTGAGATGAGAAGCTCGCATGAGCGAGCTTGTCTGAAACTGCCAAAGTGTCTCTATATAATCTCGCTTGAGCAAGAAATGGTTCGTTCAAGAAAGAATTTATTAATTGCCCTAATCATAAGTGCCCAAGCACGAGAGGGTGTTCGCGGGGGTGACCTTACTTGTGGAGGAGAAGTGCAAAGCAAAGAGGAGAGCATGGGAAAGTAGCTACATCATTGGAGAACTAATTATTATCTCTTTTGCATGTATTTTCTTGTTGTTTTGTACACCATGAGTGAGTAGAACTTTGTAGAAGATTGGATGTAATCTTAACTTTCTAAGTATTTTAGTTCATTAATATAGTTTATTTATTTTTCATGAGTTAAGTGTGATTATTTTGATATTAATGTTTGTTTCTACCCTACGGGGAATGATTTATGAACTAAAAACTCGGGGTGAGTTGGGAAACAACCTTGGGATCCAACTGGGATAACACATGTTAGGTTGAAACTCCAGGAATAGATTTTAATCTATTGTATGTGAAATAAATCTTGCTATTAATTTGGATTATTTGTTATTAAGTAAGGAATTATCACACAAAAAATTTATCTTAGAACTTCGAGTGAAAGAAATCGAACAAGTGGATATAATGAGAGTGCATCATAGAACTTTAGTTTTTGATCAAAATATATTTATGACTAAAATATGAAGTTAGTGATAGATGAAATACAATCCCTGTATTTTATCATTGTAGCAAATCCATATTTTTCAATCTACTTTTATTCCTATGCATTCAACTAACCAAAAACCAAACAACTTTAGTTGTAAATTTATGAATATTTAAAATTTTGTTAATTTTAATTTGGATAACTGAGATTACTTGAGTACCATTATTTCCTGTGGACACGATAACCCTTTATATTACATTGAGAATTTGGTACACTTGCCAGACCCTTAATAGACTGCATAAGGTAGTGATAATATCATTTATGACAAAATAACTACAAAGGTCTATAAAGTTGTCAATCAAATTTTAGATGAATCTAAATGTCTTGAACCAAAAGACAAGGAACTATAATGCTAGAATAAAAGTGTATAGGAGAATATTAGAGAGAAAATGACGTGTTTTAAAACTTCGCATACATATAAAAATTCTAAAAATTGGGCAAGATATTGAAATCCAAGAAATGAGGTAAGAAAATTAGTGAGTGAAGTTTGTTCTTAGGATTTTGAAAAGTTCTATCAAAATCTTGAGACAAAGTATGGTAAAGAAAAATTTATAAGTTTGATAAAAGTAGAAAAAGAAAATATAGAGATTTGGATTAGGTTAAATGTAATAAAGATAAACAAGCAAAAATTTTGATTTTGGATCAAGACATCAAAGATAGATGGGAGAAATATTTCTATAAACTTTTAATGATAGATAAGGAGGAAATGAAAATATAGTAGAATTAGAATTGCAAGCGAATGGTCTAAATTTGGCATATTACCATAGAATTTTAGTTGAAGAAGTAAAAGAAGCTTTTAAGACGATGAACAATTGTAAAACAGTTGGCCCCGATAATATCCCTATTGAAGTTTGTAAAACACAAGTACTTTGAGTGACTCATTAAGCCCCTTAATGAGATTTTGAGATCTAAGAATTTGTCAAATGAATCGAGAAAGGACATTTTGGTTACTATATATAAGAACAAGGGTGATGTCTGTTGGTGTAGGGGAGTTTTTAGGTAAGGAGCCTCACAAGGAATAAGACACCATAATGCAACCCCAAAACCTTAAAGCAAAGGTACATGGGTCTATCTTTTTATAGACTTCTAACTTGCCTTTATCCCATTCCATGTGAGACTCAATTCACACTTGTTTCCAACAATAACCAAAACTGTATAAACTATAGAGAGATTAAACTTATGAGTCAGACTATGAAGTTATGCAAAAAAGTGACTGGACATAGATTACGGGAGGAAATTGGGATTGTAGAAAATCAATTTGGCTTTATGTAAGGAAGTTCTACAACAAAAATTATATATCTTTTAGAAAAGACGATAAAAAGTATTGCTACAAAAAAAGACTTCATATAATTTTAATTGACTTAGAAAAAAACACAATTAAATATTAAGAGAAATGTTATGGAAGACTTGAGAAAAGAAAGGGGTCCGTGTAGTATATATTTAGACTATATAAGACATGTATAAGGGAGTAATTTTAGAGACGTATCTAAGGAATTCCAGTAAGAATAGGTTCATAAGCTCTACTTTGAGTCCTTACCTTTTCATTTAGCTTTAAAAGTGCTTACAAGAGATATATATAAGATTATCCCTATGTGCATGCTCTTTCCGAATGATATATTGTTGGTTGAAAATTCAAAAGATGTATGTTAAACTTGAGTTATGGAAGGAGACTTTAAAATTTAAGGATTTTTACTTAAGTAGAAGTAAAACAAAGTATATGCATGTAAGTTCAGCAAAAAACAAGATGAGGATTATGCATTAGAAGTTAAAATTGAAAGTGATATTATACCACAAGTTTTAAAGATTAGGCACTTAGGATCAATTCTATAAAATGGTGAGAAAATTAATGGAGATGTTATTAATAAAATACAAGTTGGATGGTTTAAGTGGAGAAAGACATTGTAAATTATTTGTGATTGTAAAGTATCTACCAAACTAAAAAGAAAGTTTTATCATAATGCAATACAACCAATTATTCTATATGATAGTAAATGTTTGGCCTTAAAGAAACAATATAATAAGACACTGAAAGTGACAAAAATGATAATGCTAAGGTGAATAATTGGTTAAAAAAAAAGATAGGATAAGAAATGATAATATACGCAAAAATGTTAGAGTAACACTTATAATAAAAAGATGATTAAAAATTGTGTAAAATAGTTTAGTCACATGCACAAAAAAAATTTAGAGACACTAGTAAAGAAAGTGAATTACATGACTTTTAATCTAATAAAAAGAGATTAAGAAAGACAAGAAAAAGAAACTTAGATAAGTTATTAGAAGAGATCTTTTTATCAATAAAATTTCTAAAAATTTAATTTTTGATTGAAGTCAATGGCATCATATGACCTATATAGCTAATCTTACTTACTAGGATAAAACTTAATTATCAAATGCTCATTTTATATTGTCATCAATCCTATTTTAAGTTATTCCTAAATTGTAGGATAAAAAAAAAATTATTAGACTCGTTAGATTACAAAGAAAATAAGCATAAACATAATAAGAAAAATAAAAATATTTAAATATTAGAATATAAAAGAAGAAGAATCCTAATATCTATCCTTACGAGAGTAATGATAATCTTGGCTAAAATTCTACCCCTAAATCCCTTTACTTTTATTTTAATCTTTTTAAGTTTAGATGGTAACTTTTTCCTTGTGGTGTAATTTTCAGTCTCTTCACTCTTTTGTCAACAATTTTTTTTAAAAAAATCCTATTTTCTTCTTCTTTTAGAGTTTTTATAGATAAATTTTCAATACTTGTCAATCAATCTATTTATAGATAAGTCTACAACTACACCACTTTTAGTAAGGTTCAATTAATAATTTTTTAAGAGTTATCTTGAGACAAGATAATAGCTACTATTTTTAATAAATTTATTACATTTAAAGCAAATTGAAAATTCAAACTTTAAAATACCTATTTATAAAAAGCATAAAATTTAAAGTAGTTATACATTTTTTGAAAATAATAATTACATTCAATCTTACATTATCTACTTTTATTTATTTTTAGGTATTAAAGCACTCATTTTTATGATAACAACACTAAATAATATTTTTTTAAATCATTCTCTTTTTTATTATGCCTCATGACTTATCTTGAGCATTTATTTTTTATTTATTTAATTCAAATATCATTTTTATTTTAATTTTACATTAGATTTTAAATTACAATACACTATAAGAAATTTAAGTTATATATTTTTATATAAGCTAAAATTTTAATGTATTGTAATATTAATTAAATTATTTTTTTAAACTTTTAAATTTTAACGTACAGAGAAGAAAAAAGTATTTTTGAATTCAATTTTAATTTGTGTTGTGAATTTTTCATGAATTTTTAATTTTAAAAAATTATCTCTTTAAAGTAGCTCTATTTAATATAATATTATTAATTTATAATATTTATTAAATTTTAAAAATTCACCTCTATATTTTAATATTAATTCCCATGCTCCTCTAATTTAATAATTAATTTTTTTAATTTAATCATGATTTATTTATATAAAAATATTTTCCACTTTAATTTAGTCTTTTGTCTTACAAAATAATTAATCTTATTTAATATGATATAATATTTATTATTATTATTATTATTAATTAAAAAATAATTTAATTTAAAATTTAATTAAAATAATTTCATTTTTCATCTTAAATTACGAAATGTGGATATTTATTTTAATGTAATATTCCCCTCTCACTCAGTTATTGTAGAGAATCGAAAAAGACATAGAAGCTTCGTTAACCCGCGAGAGGTATCAATTGGCGCCAAGAAATTTTCAGTTCGGTCGTGCTGAGACCTGAGAGAAGCTTCTTCCAGATTCTTCCATGGCCACCCAAGGTCTTCATCCTCCTTACTTCTCTGAGGTTAGTTACACTTCTTCTATTTCCTTCCTTCGATTTTTACTTTTTTTTTTCATTTGTATGCTTTGATCTATGCGAGGAAAAAAAAAAAGATACCAAGAAGGAAAAAAAACAGTGAAAATCTAATTTACTTTGATGATTTCTGACTTTAAATGCGACGTTGGAGCTAGACAGAGATTGTGATTTCAATTTTCGGTTGGTGTTTCTGTTTCATTGGGTTTTATTTATTTTTCTTATATTATTAGGGACCTTGTTTTTCGTTGTTGATGATACTCTCATTTAGGTTTTTTATAATGCCAAATTTCTGCAAATACCTTGTTTTATTTTTGGGGGAAATTTGTATGTGCCTGTTAGTGAAGGATAAATATATAAAATCATAGTCTAAACTGCGGTTTACAACTGTGCAATAATTACGGTTTGGGAGGTCTTTTCAATCACATTGCGGTTGCAATTGCAGCTGCATTAGCCACAGTGTCCTACAATCGATCACAGTTATTATAGTTGTGTGTGTGCATGTGCACATTTATATACATTTATGTTTGTATATTTGTATGCAAGTGTCCTACCAAACCACTCACCGGTTTTTGTCTTTGTTTACAGTGTTGCATGTAATACTGATTCTATGATTAAGCTTTTTTGTATCCTCAATTTGTAAGGCTATGTCACCTATGAACATTTTGCAGGATGTAGCTTGGCTTCCATGCTGGCTTCAGAATCTTAGAACAAATGCGTCTAATGAACTTATAAAGGAGTCTCAGGCGCCTTACAACGAAGAAGTGAAGGTTGGAATTTCCCTTTCTGTGTTTTTTCTTTTCCTTATTTCAACTTTTGTGTGGGTAGAAATGGAGGGAAGACGATAGGGTGGCTTGGTGGAGGATAGAACTTCTGTTTCCATATGTCTTGCTTGCTTTTGAAGTTACTGTCCTATTGTTATTTTTTTTTAATTTTAAAAACTTGTTTCTAATGTTAGAAATCTAGACTTCATGGATCATATTCATCAAACATGAATAAGTTGCATGAATTTAGAACAGCATTAGATATTAAGATTAGGAAGGGAATGTGCATCTTAAAGTCATGATTCTTGACTTCGTTTGAGAGCCTTGATCTCTCTTGGAAGCATCTGATAATCTCCAATGAATGCAGACATATACATTCAAGGAATAGGATATTTCCCTCCTTAAAGTTTAGATTGGGGTATTAGGCAATTGTCAAGAAGTTTACAATCAAGTGTCTCAAGGCACATATTTATAGAAAAGGTAGAAAGGGGACTTGTTCTTTCATGATGAGTTACAACAGTTTATACCATATTCATTCATGAAGAGTTGTAATGTAATGGTTCCACACTTCCACCCATTATGAATTCAATACAAATATAGGCTATACTATTCAAGTTCAATTTACATATCATATCCAATATCTATCAATTGCAAAGTGAATATTCACGGATTCATCAAGATAACATTCAACTCATGGTTTTATTTAATCAATAGAAGATAGAACAACCATAGAGAATGAAATTATCTAACATCTAGTGCATGAAGAAGGATTGATGATTGATTTTGTATTTATAAATTCTAATTATGCTTTACTAAATATAGTCCATCTTCACATTGATATAGTGTAGTAATGATAATGGATAGTTTATTGTACAGTTTTTTTTTTAAATTTAAAGTCTTGTATTGTTTTGTAGTTAATTCAATGACAAAATGTAGGTACAGTTCTTTAGGTACTATTTTCCAGTCAAAATTAGAGTTTCACCTTGATCAAAGATCCACATTTAATGTTGTCACGGATTATTTAGGTAAAATTATAATTTTGAATGGTAAACAGGACCAAAAACACCTAAAGAACTATGCCTAAGTTTTGTCCTTAATTCAATTTTCACTCACCATATTTTTGTTTGTATTTAATTCTGAAAGCCTCTTGAAAATGTTAGATTGGTCAAACATTAAGTGATGCTTTCTCTTCTTTGAAATGAGCAAGGATCTAGCACCTTCTCAAGGAAATGGTAATGATGGCAAAGACTTTGATAAGATATCAAGGGAAGAAGGTAGATATAAAAGTTGCCATTTATTCTTATCTGGAGACAATAGTTCACCTGTTAGTGTTTCTTCATCCCCTGAAAATGTGAGTTTCTTTCTTACGTTTTTTAAATTTTGTGTCTTTTGCTTTTATTCTCATTCAACATATGGTCCAAAATACTGGTATCATTTTGGTGCATTTTCCAAACATATGTTTTAAGTGTAACTGTTGGACTCAAGAATCGAGCTCACAAAATAACTATATATTACTAGAATGTTGACCAAATTTGAAGAATGGTACATCAGTTACATAGTATTTTCTCCTACAAGGACTTTCCTTCTTCAAAACAGGACAAACAACAAACTAACACATTAATTAACTCTTACATGTCTGAAACACCACAAAGGGCTGGCCATGTTTGGGGCAGTGTCCTCTTTGGACAAAACTGGATCAAATATAAGAAAAAAGACGAATCAAGAACAAATCAATATTGAATACTCTTAGTTGGGATTGAAATGCTCAAAACGAAGGAAGAATAAAAACAAATACAGTGAATAAGTCCAGGGATTCGAGAGCTTGATCTCCCCCAACCAAATATCAATTGTCTAACCAAATGCTCCCCTCCTCTAGTCCTCCGTGGCTTCTATTTATTAGCTTATCACTTCTTACATGTAACAAATTCAGTTATTTACAATTGCCTGTCTCAAATAACTCCCTGGGTCCTTTGAACTTACTGGGTCCTAGTCTCTTTAACACTCATATGGGCACTGATGCAGTGGCTCATTGGACTGTGTACTCACCACTCGAGCTATGTAGCGTGTTTTGTCCTGGTAAAGACCTTGCCCTAACACAATATTGTTGTGAGTGATCTATGTACATGGTTTGACAAGTTTTACATTAGCTGCCGAAGGCTTGACACAACTCTCCTCCTTTACCTAGGCTTAGGACTGGCTATGGGACTGTAGGCAGAGTTCTGCTATAGATAAGTATGTCATTGAGAAAAACCAATACAAATTTTCTCAAGTATGGTCGCAGTACTTCATTCATCAATGATTGGAAACTAAAGTTGAAGGAGGGTTGGTTAGACCGAAGGGAAACAACACAAACTCATACTGCCCTCTAAATAGTAAATGAAGTTTTAAGGATGTTCTCTTCCTTCATTCAAATTTGATGGTACCCAGATTTAAGATCTAACTTAGAAAAGATAACAGTTCCTCCCAGTTCATTTAATAGCTCATCAATTATGGGAATTGAAAATTTATCTAAAATTGTGTTTAAAGCCATATAATCCACCTCTGCTGTACGTTGCTGTTGCAATTACTGGCAACCCTTTTTCCAGCACTAAGGCAGATGCTACAAAATTGTGAGATGCTTTACAATCCAGCAATGCTACCACCTTTTTTCCTTCTAATTTGCCCCACATTTTGATGGAATTCTGGGAAGTTAATCTAGTGATGCTATACATTAATAGTTGTAATGCTTTGTGTACCATTTCCTGCTAAATATACACCCCTTCTTCATCTTCCCTATACTTCATCTGCTTTGTGCATGATTAAAATCAAATAAAAAGTTATTGTATCCACAGGGGATGTGCTATTAAGTACTGAATAGTTATAATTTAAATATCTAAACACAATCAATTAATTTTCTTTTAATGAATGCAGTCAACACTGTGAACATAGGTGTGTCCTGTCACATAGCTTGGTTGTGTTTGCTGCTGTCTTGCCTTTTTTCAAGCTCCATTAGACCAGACAGGAATACAGGCGTTTCTTGACACAGTGGATTGTGTATTTTGCTGTCCATGGCTTATTTTTTCAATATTAAGCTCCAAAAATCTCCTAAGCTCCATTCTCTTCAATCCAACTTTTGGATTACCCAAGTTTTATCTTCAAAATTCACTATTCTCCATAAAAAACACCTAAAACAAGTAACTTGAACAATACACGTAAAATACTTAATAAAATTCAATCTAAATGCAAGATTATGCATGATTTAAATAAATACATGTTAAAAACATAAGCACAAATTGCAGACATCATGAGTATGTATTCTTCTTCTATTCTCCTCACTCAAGCCACTAATAAATTAACCAAATGCTTGTTCTTCAAGAATTTCTAGTAGTTGTGCCAACAGCTTAAACATTTAAACAAATCTTCAAATCAACTGTTTTGGCTGAAGACAAGTTGGTCATATGGGTTTCCAACACCACTACAAAAATCTCTCAGCAGTTCCTTTTTCAGTGCTTCCTCAATCATCTCAGGTATTCTCTTCACCAAATATCTGAATAAATGCGCTGCTGCTCTTGCCATACAAACATAAACAGAGACACATTCAGTGCTAGTTTGATATTTTGGATTTCAAAAACATTTCTTAGCCTAGCCTAGCCAACCATCCAATGGAATCATTCCCATCTAAATTAGGCTATTCCACCTTCTTGAATGTTTCAGAAGATTCATCTTCATAACTGGTTGAGTGAACATTGTTGAGATGTGGATCATGGGATACAGAAATTCTAGAATGTCTTGAGCTTTGTCCATCTTTCTCTTCTCCATTTTCAAGATCCTTCTACTTCCTGAATTCCTTCAATAAAGACTACATTTCAGCCAAACTATCAATATTCTTTTGCATTTCTCTGCCTCATATCTTCAACTGAGTTTCTTATTGATTGTAAACGATGATCATGGTGAAAATCTGATCTCCTTATCCCCTCATTACTCTTTCAAATTTGCTCAACTTGTTTCTCCAATCCCTGCACTTGAGTCCATCCCTGTTGATGGCATTCAGCTAGTCAGATTGAATTGTTGGACTCAAGAATTTAATACACAAATAATTAAACTTGAATAATTTGGTTTTTAGAGCAGATTTGAAGAACAATATATCAATTACAGATGGTTTTACCCCAGCAAGGATTTCCTCCTTCAAAACGCCACAAATAACAAACTGACACTTTAACTGCCTCCTATGGGTCTGTCACACCACATATATAATATAACACTATAACTATCACACAAACCCATAACTTCCTAAGGAGACAAACGCTACGCAAACACTAATAATTTAGATCCATAACTTCCTAAAACATCACATAGCTGTTCCATCAGTAATGTTGTGATATCAACATTAACTTTTAGTTGCCATTAGTTCCGTGAGCAGGATTTCCGAGATTCACATGAAAGATATGATGGAAAAGTTTTGAATTTTTTCTCTATAGGTTAAATAACACTACTTATCTACCATAGTTTAGCTTAAACTATTTTTTATCTTTTTATCCCCCTACAATTTACTGAAACATCTTTTTTGTATTGTTTATTTATATGTAACAGCAATTTCAGTTAATTTTCAAATATTTTCCTTTTGATGGCTAATTGATTCAGTGACAACTTGTTGTATATGAATTGGTCACTTGTAATAATGAGCATGAACTTGGAAGTATATTTTGATAATAACTACTTTTAGAAGATTAGTCCTGCTTTTAGTCAATTTCTCTCATTTGTTTATATGTTTCTGTGCTCAACCTCCTACACTAGCACACTTATCTGCCAAAATTTATTCTTGTGAAATGTGTTTGTAAATTTTATTTCTTAGCAACAAGGTAAATTGCTTATACTGTTAATACCATTTATGACTAAGATTTGTTTAATCTATTTATGCTTTACTGAAGCAGGTGTTTCATTTTAGTCTGCATCTTTCTTCAGACGTTGATTCACTGTTTTTCCCAAACCAAGATTTGAATGAATCTCATGGTGTAGTTTCACCAAGTAAAGCTTTGTCATTGCAACCTGTTCAACCTTCTACTGATTTTAGAGTGAACATGTATCCCATGATGGATCCTCTTGCCTGTGAACCAGATCTGTTGGTTGCTTTAATCCCTGAAACTGTGGAAAAAGATGCTACAAAATCTTTTGTTGATACAATTGACTCTGTTGTAAAACAGAAAGAAAGATCTGTGGATAAATGTTTCAAAAGTGCTCATGTCAGTAATGCAGTTGAACTTTCTATTGCTGCATCCGAGGCATTGGTCATACATGATTTAGTGAAGATCGACTCAGCTTCGGAAACAATTTATACAGAATCTGTACTCGAAGTTGCACTTCGTGTGAAGCAGGCACGACTCAAGGGGTTGGAAGATGGCTTCCAGTCCTCAAATGAGGAATCGGACTGTAGTGATTCTCTTTCTGATTTGAATGATTTCATTATGGAAGATGCTTATGAAGATATTGGCTTACTTATTGGTGTTCCTTTTGAGGAAAATATTTTCAATTCAGCTATATTTCAAGCAAAAGGTGTGTTCAATGCTGAAAATGGTAGCGGATGCAATAGTAAACATGGTGGTAATGAGTTTGCATCTCAGCTTGCCAAATTTGATGATAAATCTAAACACAAGCAGTTCGAAATTAATGTGGATATTGAGATGCAGAAAAATACAGACTCACCTCTTCATTCTTTACACTGTGAGAAGGAGAATCATTCTGATGATCCTGGTTTGGTTGCAAATATTCTCAAATTTTCTGATAATAGTCTTCCTATATCTCATCAATACATAGAGAATAGCACGGATAATTTACCCCCAAACCAGGTAAATTAGCTTCTTTTCCTTTCCCTTTCTATTCCAGCTGTCTGGAAAAAATTCAAATTTTAGTTTATCGTGAATCAATTATTACTAAAGCCTAAACTATTAGGTGAAGGCATATTATTGGTTCTTACTTTTATATCTTTACATGCCTACTCATGAAAGAGTTCTTTGGGCTTGAAGCATGCATAATGGCTAGGTGACCTAGGTCTCCCTACCATGTATTCAAATTTAATTTTTTTATTAGTATGTCACCTGTATTACTGGATTTTTTTAAGGTAATTGATGCTACATTGATTTCCACTTTCCAGACAGTTGGCTTGGTTGATTTGACTTCAATCAAGCCACCAAACAGTGTCAACTCTTCACTTGTTGAGAATTCTGGAAATTACAGTGAGTTTTAAGAGTTTACTCAGCATTTTTGTTATCTTTCTTTCTCTAGCATTTAAAGCTTATGTATTTTCTTATGTTAAATTATTCAGAAAAGGAAGATTGGGTAACTCACCTAGCTCCAAAAAGATTTAGAAGTCGTTGGTTAGGGGGTTGGACATGTGAGGTATGGTGTTTCATCTTTTTCCTTGACCTATAATTTCTTTTAGTCATACTAATTTTGTTATTTTCTTTTGATACTCTAGTTAACACAATTACAGTAAGTTTTGACTTTGACACCCATGGATTCTCCTTTGAATCATGTTTCTTTAAAAATTGAATTGATGAGATCCTGTTGAAACCAAAAGGGTATTGCTTATTCTGGAGAAGAGAGAAGGTGTGAGGATATTAGCTTCTGCCAGTTTCCAAGTTTCCTTTAGACTTTATAATACTTTCTTCTTTTACAATTAACAACTCAATATGATATAAAGAAAAAATAGCATTGGGGCAAGGCTGAGATTATTGTAAACATTGTGACAATTGACCTGCAACCTGTAAGATAAAATCAAGAGATCTATAATAAGTGAATTCTGACTCAAGCATTGGTTTTGGATGTCTTTTATAGTGATATACTATTAAGGATATAATTAATAATACTAAAATCTTAAAAATGGTGAAATATTATGAGTCTCAGGAGGGTTTCTTTAGAAGCAGCTGACTGGTAATTTCTTTTTGGAGAAATATGGTGTTATGAACCTTCGCGTAGGACCTAGTCACAGGCCTAGATGTGGAAGAATCCTTCTTGCAACCTATAGTAAATATGGCATTTTGGCAATAAACTTGTCCTTGACAGAGCCTTTTGGAGATAATTAATTCTGCATATATTTGCATGTCCTCTATTGAATATTTCAGGCTTTTTTAATAGACCGTTAATACAATGGAGAGAAATCCAATTGATACTGTTCTGTAGCTAAAACTAGAAATAAATCCTAAATCATGATAATAATATAATTGTATCTAATAGAAGAAAACAAATCCTAAATAATGATCTTATCAATTAAAAGAAAACAAATCCTAAATAAAGTGAGGATATTTGTAAGTAAAGGAAACAATTATATTTACTGCTGTGGTGCTGCATCTTTTGCTGTTGTCTTCCTTTTTTGATATTGCTGACCCACAAATGTGTCCACATCATGTGGAAGAAAAATATTCTTTATCCTGAGTTTTTACTTTGAATAAAATCATGAAGTTGGGTGGGACAGTTTTGCATTCTGAGATATTTTGCTGATTATTGAGGATAGCTGGTATCTGAAGGAATGGGGACTGTTCATAGAATTTTCAGTAAGTTCCTGCTGAATAGTAGCGATTGGCTAGCTATCTATTCATGGCTGTTGGTAGTATTTCTCCTTCAAGAATACATTAGCGCATTGCTGCTGTTGATGTTTTTTCTAGTTTGCCACCACTGTATTTATGAATACTTGTCAAATGGAACAAAAAGAATCTAGGTGTACCTATGCATTATTCAATTCTAAATAACTAAATGCATTTCCTAGTTTCAAGAATGCCATGACCCTGGTGCCACTACGAGTCCTTAACAGTTGCTTGTATGACTGTGGATTTACTAAATTGATATATATGGAAGGGGTACTTCTATTCTGATTGGAGGCAAAGTCCCACCAAATCATATTCTTTCTTTTACTAAGAGCCTGCCATTCGATTCCTTTTTACCTGCTGTACACCATCCCTACACTTGTGACTTGATTTTGTTCAATTTCCTACTCAAATCTTCACTCCTGTTCTTAGATGATTTATCTAGCACTTATATATTGTATCATCTATTTAAGCATCTTGGTATCGCATTCTTGTTTTTCATGGTTTTTAACTAGTATGTTTCCCTCTTGGAAGGAATTAGATTCATCTTCATTGAATCAAAACAATGCAGAATGGATTCCAAAGTTTCACATCAGAGAGACAAGCTTTCTTACAGAATCTGTAGATGTTATTCCCGATGAGAGTTCTTTTGTGGTGAAACTTGATCCCAAGTGTGCCATTGGTTCTCTACGAAGTATGCCTTCTGAAGATTCACACAACAAACATGATGAGGGAATTTTGCAGTCTCAAGATGTGGTTGGATGTTCTAGTCTATCATTGACTGATCCTCTTTGCTCAGTTGTCCCATGTAGCATTTCTTCAGAACATGTCAATTACAAAACTTATATTGACAAAAACAATGATACGAAGGATATTTTCCCATCCATCTCTGAATTTGAGCTGGACAATTTCCATAGAATCCCAGATATGAATGTTACATTTGACTGTAGTAATGAGGAAATTATGTCTGTACTTGATGGTAAAGATATTCCAATCACTGCAACAAAGATGGCTGAACAAATTACTAAGTTAACAAGGGCTGAGCATACTTGTCTTAAGACTTATAGCATGATTCTACCGAACAAAGATCTCAACCTTAACTGTAATTTAACCGCACTTGCATCTAATCAGAGTATGGATGTTGCTGCATCTTCTGGCACAAATTTTTCTGAGAGTCTATGTGCATCCAAGCATACAGATGGAAACAAAAATGAAGAAAATAATCAGCATTGGATTGATCACAAATCAATTATTGAAATAATAGATGGCATGAGTGGCAATGAGTTAAAATTAAAAGCAGCAAATGCAAGTGACGTTTTAGGAGATTCAACACAAGGCAGAAGATCACCTCTTATACTAAATAATCAGACATGCTGGCCCTTGCTGGGCCCTAGGAATGTTGTTAATGATATCAGTGCAGAGAAAAATATGCAGCAGCATGAAGCACCAGAAAATGTTGTTCAACATCCTCAGGACAGTAATCTTAATAAACTGCAGGTTGAGTGCAATAAATTCCTGGGTGGACATGTTAGAGTGAGAAAGCAAGTACATTTCTCAGAAAAAGTGGAAGAGCTTCCACAAAAAAGGAAATTATCAAAGTTAGAATCTTCACATAAAAGATGTAAGTCTTTTGTTCAGTTTGTCCCAACAAACTATCCCAAAAGCTTAAGCTATTAGGTGAAAACACATGAATGGTTTTATATTTCTTGTCTAACATGTTCCATTTCCCATGTGTCCTTTGAACTTGAAGTGTCGATAATGCACAAAACCACCTACCTGTGCTGAGATTTTGACTTTTAATTAGAAGAATAGGAGACCACTTGGTCATAGAGACTCTAATAGCTTATCATGATCAACCATAAAAGATTAAAATGTTAAGTGAAGACATGGAAATGGCTTTATAATACATCTCTAATATATCATTCAGTTTTATATTTAGGATTTTCTAGAAATTATCTTTTTTTCCTACAACAATGTAGGTTCAGCTGTTAAAGCAAAAAGGCGACAAGTTTCCAAGTCATTGACCACTTCTGTGCCACGTATGAAACATTCTTTGGCAAATTATGGCAAAAGTGTAGTGCATGAATTTATATTTCAAGGTATAGAGTTCCTTCTCACTGGATTATCTAGTCAGAAGGAAAGGGACATGGAAACACTTATAAGGAAGTCCGGTGGGGTGGTTCTTTATGATGTTCCCTCTCCTCGAAATTCAAGGGACAAGAGAAATTCAACCATATCTCACGTGCAGCTTCCTATTATTCTATGTATGAAAAAGGTTTGTTTCAAATGATCAATATAACTTTTTGTTGTTTGTAATTGTATAGTGCTGGGGCCTAAAACTTATGCTAATTGTTTTGTTTATCCCATTGCTTTTCTTTGTTTCATTGTCATTTTTGTTAATCTCTTGCATCCCACTATATGCCACTGGGGATTCATTTCAACAATTAAATTGTATTTTCCAAGAACTAAAATTACACCCAAGACACTTATCTAGATAAAACTTGTTTGATCTTTTTATCTGCACCCTATCATTAATAATTATGATCATAATTATTGCAAAAAAATCCATATTTACCCATTAGACACCCAATGTTAGTTATACATGATGTTTTGAGTGTAATCATCGCATGTTTTGGAGGCTGCAAGAGTGACAGTTAAAGGGAGCAGAATCTATGCTCTTATGATTGATTGGTATTTTCACATAAGCATATCTGATTGATTGGTATTTTCACATAAGCATATCTCTGCTTACATAATTCCTCTTCTTTTCTTCTCATGATCTTAAACTTAAATATAACTGTATTTTTCCCATTATTTTTTTCTATGCATTTTATGTGGTTTCTAATGAAAGCTTTCCACTTAAAGAAATTTGAAAGAGTGATGTCTTATAAGCTTTCCACTTGAATGAAAAAGTTTATGCTGTTTAGTGGTTTAGCGTTATAAATGGGTCTAAGAATGATGATTATAAGTATAGTAATGGCATGTTTTTGTTAAATGGAAGTCTGGGCATGAAGGCATCTTGAATACATACTTATACAACTAACTTGTACTCATGCTAATTAGTGTGCCCTGGTTGCACTGAAGTTTTAATTATGAATTCTGCGTGATGGTTGAACAATAAATCACTTAATCAACCATGCTTTAAATTCAATGTTAAAGAAACGTTGCACATAAAAGATGAATATTTTATCCAAGGATCGATGATTTTTTTCCTTAAATAACTGATGACAAATTGTACAGCACTAATTATTATGTTTTCTGTCATATAATGATTGCATTGTTTACTTCAATATAATTGAGTCTGTTGTTTGTCTCAGCTGCAAACCACCAAATTCTTGTATGGTTGTGCTGTTAGTGCCTCGATACTAAAAGTTGGCTGGCTTACTGATTGTCTCGCATCTGGAACTATTTTGCAACCTGAAAAGTAAGTTGTATTATCACTGAGTTGACTTTTGCATGTCTTAAAATTTATGTACCATGCTCTATGACAATAAATAGACACACAGCAGTACACTCCCATACTTTCAGTCAAACAATATTAATCTGAATATGAACAGTATTATTAAAGTATCAAAATGGATAACTCTAAGAAATTGAGAATGTACCCCCGAAGCCTATGCTTTACATAAAGGAACTCCTCTATTACAAGGAAAGTTCTTTTGGTCACAAAAACATCCTATAGTACCCTTTCTCTCTCACTGAATTCCCCCTATATTCCTCCTGACCTCCACCCTCACATGCATGCATCTTCTCTTTCCCTTTCTGTTTCAGTCAAACATCTCTAGCACCTCTAACATACACTCTTTCCAAACTTAGATCTAGGCCCATTATGCTAGTAGCAGTGACATATCCAGGAATTTTAAGTTATGGAGGCAACACATACATATGTATTTGTAGCATTGAAAATATGACACACTACTATCAATAAGTGTAAATATACATCATAATTGAGTTCTCATATTTTTAAAACTTTGAATTATTTTCTCATTTTCAATATTATAAAATTTTTCTCTATATATATGTAATCTAACAATGATTCAGCCCTTCATCTCCCATACAGTTCTGCATTTGATTCTTGATGATAATATTCTTAGCAAAGAAAGCTCTTTCAACTGTTGAAGTTGCCAGTGGTAGTATTAAAACTAACTCTAAAAGCAAATACACTGACGGATATACAGCATGCTTCGTGGTCTCCACAAGCTTCATATGTGGACAAATACATCAAATTGGTTTTTTGTTTTTAGTGGACAAAAATTGTAACTGATTATTGATATGGTAACAAACAAGGCTAGTGGAATTTGGGGCAATTTATAAGTTCAACTAAAATTTTGGGGACATTTTCGTATATATAGTATTAAAAAAATTCAAATGTCTGTGGGGGCAACTGTCCCTACCAAATTCAACGTGCATCTATCCCTGGATACTAGTACTTGATTCATTTGCTGGTGTGGGTTGCTAACACAAAGTATGTTGTGAAACTAAGATTAATCCAGCCATGATTTTGACAATTTAGATCTCAATTTGAAATGATTTTGATATACATAACATCAAGACATTTAGCTCAAATTTGTTACCCAATTATGATTTATATAGCTGAAATGCAAACAGAAAGGTCATTCCTTTCCCTTCTCATCTTGTTATGCATCGTTTATTTGTTTGTTTAACATGTAAAAAGACATTCACTAGATGAGCATGATATGATTTTCTGATAAAAGAACAGAAACCTTACCATTTTGTTTGGTTTGAAGAAAGAAATAGGGAAGAAAGAAAGAAGTTAAAAAAGAAATAAAAGAGAAAAAAGGTATAAAAGATATATTGTTTAGATGGATATAAATAGAATGGAAGAAATGAAAATAATGATTTTTGCTTGTTCGGATGAGTGGAATAGAGAGTAGAAAAAATAGATAAATGATTTAAAAGGTCATTTTATTCTTCTATATAAATTATACTTAGTAATATGATTAATAAAAGAGAGGTAAGGGTCAAAACAGTCTACATGAATTAAGCTTTCTTGTCTACTCTAACTTGCTCAATAGTGTTGTGTGATTTATATAGCTGACTTTACCGAATAGGATTAGGCTTGGCTATTGTTGTTGTTGTCTATACTCAAAATTGTGGCACAGGAGAAGAGAAAATGAAAATATGTACCCCACTAGTATAGTTTCTCTCCCTAAACAACAAGCTATCCAAACTAGTGAATATTTTGTTCTCTCTCACAAATCAGTCCTTCCAATTTCAGGCTTCAATAATTCTGTCTATCCAAACACATTGGTATTATTATCAACAGTGACCACAAATGGACAATTTCGATGGTCTTGCTTCTCATTTGCGTGGCTATCATTTTAGAAAAATATTTTTTGACCATTAGGAATTTTGATCCCTATGGATATGCTGGGATGATGGAATTCAAATTATAGTTTAGAATTTAAGTTTCAATTCCAATTCTAATAAAATTGGAATTGGCAAATAATTATTATCTTATGTTTTGGTTATGCAAAGAATTAAACGTAGAAATAGAATTCTAAATATTCCTATTTTATTGTGTAGATTATAACAACTGAATTTTGAAAATCAAATTAATTATAAATATCTTATTAAAAATTTTCTTAATATACTAATTATTAATTAGTTTAATTATAATATGATTATTATTTAAGATAACAATTTTATTGGGTTAGTCAGTTTTATTCAGCCTTGGTGGTGGTGGTAGTAGCGGTAGTGGTAGTGGTGGCCAAAGGTTTCCTATGATGGCAGTGGTGGCTATGGTGACTGGTGAGGATTGCAGTGGTTGTAGAATTAGGCAGAGGCATAGAGGAGTTGCACGATATTGGGGACCTAGGGTGAGGAATTGACAATTTTTAAGGTGTCACTTAAGAATTAGAAATTCCCCAAGCTACCTCTTTTGTAATTCCATGGAATTGTGATGGAATTATGATTCTAATTCTAAACAGTTTTCCAAACATAAAAATTAGAATTATATGGATCAATTCCAATTTCAGGTTTCAATTCCATGCTCAATTCTAGCCCCCAAATTAGATTTGGAATGGAACGGACAGATGATTCTGAGGTCATCTTATTTTCATGGAATCCAATCCCCATGCTAGACGTTAATTCTCCCAGTCAGTGCTGGAGAGGAGATATTGCTGTTATCTGAAGCATGATTCCACTACTCTGCATCCTAAAATGCGGAAGCCAACTTTCTCAGACAACAGAAGTCAAATGTGATTTCCTGTACACTGTCTTTATGCATATCTAAAGTTGCTCGAACAGCCACAGTGCTGTTGTTTGGCTAATGGTATGGTACGATCAGAGAATTCATCTAACATACAAATGTGTAACAAATCTATCAGTAAAACAATTTTATACCATTATGATGTTAATGTCTTGAACAACAACAGCAACAACTGCCACCACCAAGCATTATCCCATTGGGCAGTACTAAAAGCTAACTTTAATGAGATTGAAATAAGTTTTTTTTTTTAATGGTTTCTCCTGGAAGTTTTTCGAAATATTTGAGATTGTCTCCACTTTTAGTGATGTGTTGTCAAGATCTTCAAATCCCTCTCTGCTGTTTAATGATTCTGGTTTCATTGGAATTAGATACTTGATTCTTCCAAATCGAAATGACATGAAGTGGACCAGGATTGGGATGGCAATTCATCATAGAAACCGAAAGCATATTTTTGAACGCGTAGGAATTGTGCTCCATGGGAAGCATAGTTTCTGCGCCAAATTGGGAAGTATCATCAAGGTTAGATTCTTTTTTTACCTCTTCAATCTTTTACTCATCTTAAGTTGTCCCTTTATATGTCCTTTTTTATGATGTAAAATTTCCACTTTTCCCCCCTTATTTTATATTTTAATTTATTATAACGGTATTTTTTTTATTTTTTTTTTGGGTTCGGTTGATTACAGTTGTAGTTTGAATGGCTGAGTTTCTAAACTTAAAACACACTTACATGGTAATTGACATGCATTTGATGACTTTGGAATGTAACGAAAGCCATTTGTCTCGCTGGTGGCTTAGATATTTTCATACATACAAGACTTATAGCAAATATCAACAGAGTACAGATTTTTATACACATGCGCAGTACCAACACTTCTTTATTTCTCTTGCTATCACATGACATCACTCATCAAGTCATTCATTTTTCTCTTTTCTCGTCTTATTTCTCAATAGGTGTGTACACTCTATGGGTGTAAAACAATCATTTTCCGTGTCAACGCTATCATGTATAATCCAAAGTTATCTAAGAGTTTGTTTGGATGTCCTTGTAAGGAGGGAAGGGAAGAGAAGGTTTATTTATAATTAACTTTGTTTGGGAGTTAAGAAAAAATGAGAGGAAGGTTCAGGGGTTTTTTTTAAACCCTCCAAAGTCGTCCTAAATTCAATTTTTGGAGTTTCTTCGAACTGAGATTTTTTATAAATTTTAAACATTCAAATAAGGGAGGAGTTTAACCCTCCTTCCTCCTTTCCCCTTTGTTTTCTCTTATCCCTTACCTTTCAAACCCTCTCCTTCCCTCCCTCTAAAGGCTTTGCTTGGAAGGTTGGAGGAAGAGAAAAGGAAAGAGTTTGAAAGGAAAGAGAGGAGAAGGGAAGGAAGGAAGAAGGAGGTTAATACAAAACTTTCCAAATTGGAAGAACTTAAAAAAAATATGAGATTAGGAGGGTTTTGGAGTTAATAAACTCTCTTCCTCTTATCTAAAAACTCTCAAACATAGTTAAATATCCCATAAGCCTTCTCCTTCCCTTCCTTTCTCCTCCAAAACCTGTGAAGATGTGAAAATATATCTAAAAACAAATTGACAATGAATACTTTATTGAATAGAAGCCAAACCTTTCAACAGGCATTTCACAATAGCAAAAACAGAAAGATTAAAATAACGTAAACTAACATAATCAAGCTAAATAGATAGATAAGATATGTAACTAACTTCAACAAAATGTAACGGGCTGAACAAAACATAATGGACTAAACAAAACATAACAGACTCAACAATATCAACTCCCAAAACAAAGCTTATGTTAATAGTTTTATAAACTAATCTCTCTCTTTCTCTCTCTATCTGATTGTGTGTTTTGCACAGCATGGAGGTGGAAAAGTGTTCAAAACTCTTCAGGGGTTAGTACGGAGCGCTGATGAAGAAAGGACTATGGTAGGCGCTATTGTAGTTGAAGAAAAGACTACTATATCACGTCATCTAAAGTATTGTGCCAAAGAGCGGAATATTCCTATGATGGTAAGTAGTAATTACGCATTTCAGATTTGGGTATAATTTACGGTTCCCAATATTTGTAGAAAGAAGTTATTGTTGTGCATCAACAAGCTCAATATTTTGCCATTTCCTATATATGGTTTATCGAGTGAAAATTCTTGACGTTTCAATCTTTCGTGGGTTTTTAAGATTAATCCCTCTCACTTGTGCTCTTTCTAACACATGGTTTATCAAATGAAAATTCTTGATGTTTCAATTTTTCATCTCACTTATCATGCTCACATTATATACTTAATATATATGTCTGTGGTGTGTGATCTCTCACTCAATTTTCTCTTGCAGCCTTGTAGCTGGATCATTAAGAGCTTATATTCAGGAAAGTTACTTCCCTTCACGGAAGAAAAAAATACACATTCATTGCCATTTGTTAAAGTCTCTGAAGTTCCAAGTTCTTCAGATATGAGTGAAGAAATATAAATTTTACACTTTAAGCAAACATTTATTAACGCGGACTATCAATGATGAGTTGGGGAGCGTGCAGAAGATCTTACTTAAGAGTACGGAAGTGGCGTACGGCGTTCCGATAATTTGTTTAGCTTATTTGATAAGTTTCACAATTGAACTTACAAGTAAGCTGTCGTTTAATAAGTATAGTAGATGACATTTGTTACCCAAATACGTCTTAAATACTGTAATTATATATGATTAGTTGTAGACGTGTGCCTTCAACAAGTGGGTTAAATTATTCTGTTTGGTATAAATAGTATGAAAATGAGATGAAGTTCAGTTCATGCATCAACCGCATGTTTGGCAAAACTAAGTTTTGCATCCGACGTTCGGTCTACCAATAAATGAATCTCTACGGTGAATTTATCGGAATAATGGCATTCAAGTATTCCATTTAAGTACTTCTCTAATTAAACATACTTATTTGATTAATTTTCGTGGCTAATCACATGCGATGTTAGTTTCAATCAGCATTCATTTGTAAATTAATATATTTCTGAATGGTGTCAACGACCCTTTTATTTTATCATACAATTTGGCATCATATCGTCAAATTGATTACATTAATTTAAAACACAATCATGACATGTGCTGATTCTACGAGAAATGATATCATTTAATGTAGGCATTTGAGGTGTGCTCGAGTACAAGTTTCTTCCTCTTTCAATACTTGATTTCTTTCTTCTCCCCTCTATTTAGTCAATAGTTGTGAGGCTTCAAGCATTTTGTTCGACTGCAGGGTTAAATTGTTATATGTATTAGGCTTGAGGCAAAGTATTTAGTTGCATAGGAGGTCCATGAAATTTTACTTCAAGTGGTATGGTTGGTTTTATTGCAAAAAAGTAAAATAAAATAAAGAAACAAAATGTGCAGAATTATAAGAAGAATGAATAGAGAAGTAATTCAATTTTTATTTAATAGCAATAATACATTTATAATAAATGAAAGAAATATAAACTAATTACATAACCGAAAGATTTGATAACAAATTAAATTATTTTTAAAATACCGAAACTACTTATTGACTATGATACTAATATAATAAACTGAAATAATAAAAAATACTGACAGTAATTTTAAAAATATATTGTTAACATTTATTCTTGTTTTTTAAACTGCAAATTCTATCTTTCTGCAGTTTAAATTTGCTAACAAAAAGTAAATTTGTTGTCAGCAGGAATTTTGTATTCTCTTATTGCTTCAAATTAAAATTAAATAAAACAAAAATTTTTCATAGAAAAGAGAAGTAATTAACCGAGTCACCTCGATTATTGTTAGAGAAATTAGCCAACTTGAATTTTTCACTCCTCTTGAAGTCGATGCTTGAGTTACAAGTGTCTTTAAAATATTTAACCACTCTCTTTGCAACCTTGAGATGTCTTTCATTTGCACTATGGATGAAATTAGAAAACTTACTTTCAACACTCAAGGTATTAGGGTGAAATGTTGTGATATTTTCTTTGCATAAGAAAGTTGTTTGTTGCTCCTTCAACAAATTCAAAGTAAAATTTTTTTGTTTCATTTTTACTTTGAAAATATCTTGACCAACTTCATCTTTAATCAAACAATATTTATTTTAAAAAATAACTTTGAATTTCCCTTCAATCAATTGACCAACACTTAATCAATTTGGTTAATTTTAGGAACTCAAAGAACATCATGAATAACTTTGTGCTTGAATAGTTTGTTATTGCAATTGTTTCCTTTCCTTTGACTGGAATAAAATCACCATTACCTATTTTGACTTTAGTGATGTTAGTTGGCATCAAATCTTTAAAGAGTTTTTTATTATTAGTCATGTGGTTAGTGCAACTACTATCAATTAGTCAACCTTAATTTGATTTAAAGTTTGAGAGACAAATAGCAACAAATAAATGATCTTCTTCCTTCTGATCAACAATCTTAGCCTTTTCATCTTGGTTTTGGTTTTATTTTTGCATATAACTTCTTCATGTCCCATTTAGTTGCATTTACTGCATTGTGTATCTGACCTTCTCCAACATTTGAAAGGATGATGACCATTTTTTCCACAATAATGACATGAAGGATAAGATTTCTTGTTGTTTTATCTTACATTTTCATGATGCGTGATATGTAAGGCTCTCTCAATAGCACATTCTTGTCTCATTGCACACCTTTACTCTTGTGCTTGTAAGGCATTTAAAAGTTCCACCAATGTGATTTTGGACACGTATTTGGTATTCTCTAAGGTGGTGATTGTAGTCTCAAATCTTTCAAGCACTATTACAAGAAATTTTTCTACAATTCTAGAATCAGAAAAATTAATACTTAGTAATCTTACCTTGTTAGCTATGCCAAGCAGTTTGTTTGAGTATACTTTGATTGTCTTAGACTCTTTCATTCTTTAGAGTTCAAATTCTCTCATCAAATTCAATACTTGCATGCATCAAATTCTTTCATTCCCGGCATATTCTTTCTTAAGGTAATCCCAAATTGGCTTTACTGTTTTTAAAGTCATGATACCGGTGAAGATAGTTGTTGAAACACCAGCAAAAGACATGATTTAGCTTTTGCCTTTTGTGTTTTTCTTTCCTTGTGGTTTTTTATTTGGGCCATGGTAGGATCATGTGATAGCAGAAGAACTTCGTAATCCTCTTCAACAGCTTTCCAAATATCTAAAACCTCTAGGTAAGTCTACATTTTGATAGTCCAAAGATCATAATTTTCTCCATCAAAGATAGGAGGAGCAACTTGTGAGAAATTTAATTCAGCATCTATTTTCAAAGGTCTATAAGAAGATAGCTCTTGATACCGCTTTGTTGGTTTTATGGCAAAAAAGTAAAATAAAATAAAGAAAAAGAAATACGCAGAATTGTGAGAAGAATAAATGGAAAAAGAATACAACTTTTATTTAATAGAAACATTAATACATTTATAATAAATCAAAGAAACATAAACTAATTAAGTAACCGAAAAATTTAATAACATACTACATTATTCCTAAAATATCGAAACTACTTATTAATTATGATATTAATCTAATAAATTGAAATAACAAAAAATAACTGATAGCAGTTTTAAAAGTATATTATTAACAATTATAACTCGACTTGACTTCTTTCTACTATTTTTCTATATCTGTTATTTATTTAATATCACGTTTATCACTATGCTAGTTATCAACGACGTTGTTACTAAATAAACATGTCACATTGAACACCATGACGATACCAACTGTAACAGTTGTCTCAACGATTATTCCTCTACTTTGAACAACTTGGAGTTGACTCCGTTTATTCAACGCTGCACCAACCATTCACTTTGATGTAAATGCCAGCGAAACTGTTGAAGATGTTATCAAAACAATTAAAAATCATGAAATACACAATCAACTGTGTAGTCATCTCCATAATCGTATGCCTAAAGCCTAATAATCTTTGCGTCAAACAAGTTTGCAAAATCACTTACCTTGCATGATCACCGTTGCATGACTAACCAACGATTACAGCTTCATGTAGGCAAGATGTAGCCTACAATCCAATTTGAGGACGGGTTTTTGGAGTTAGCTCTCACCCTCACGAGATAATGATTCTTTGTCTCGGCCATTGTAGCATGTGTGTCGAGGAGGTGATAGTTTAGAAAAAAGATCGTTAACATTTCATGATCATTAGTGTTAATAGATTTAATATGAATGGTTGATAATAATAAGAAAACTAGAATGAGAAATAATCTAAAAGTGAAGATAGATAAGTGTAAGGAAGAAACCATACACCCTAAGTTTTTCTCGATTTAATTTATTGTTAGAGGTTGCGTTATTTTAAGTTTTTTAATTAAGTTATATATTTAAATCCTGCTTTTATTTACTTTCGCATCCTTTAAGTTCAAACAATTAATTAAGAAATTCTTGGTAATTAGAAATAATTCTTCTAGAATGATATTTCATAAACTTATTTTAGAACCCTTTATTACTTTTTGACAGGTATACTTGTACACGGGAACAACTCCATCTTATTGATAGCCTTCTCTGTACTACTCCATTTGACAAGTGTCTCTGCCAACAATAACAAAGTTCTAATATAGCTCCTTTCCAAAAGTATTTATATAATGATAAGTCATTTTCTTACACAAATCAAATTTACTTTCAATATTAAAAGTCCCAATGCACATGTCTCAGAGTTAAATACCATTGAATAAAATTAAAACAATGTACTTCTTTCACACTTTTCTAAATAAATGCATATAATTAAACAAAATACATATTTTAATGAACTTTCACATGATAAGAAATAAATTTAAGACTTGTTTCCTTTAAGTTAATAATTTTTTGACAATAATAACATAAAAAATAATTAAAAATAAGCAACTATGATAATTATTTACTCACAAATAATAAATACCAATTAACTCGCTTCATAAGACTACTCTTGATCTACAAGAAAAATATAAGCCTATAATTTCGAATGCTAAAAATATTTAACGGAGATTCAAAATTAATTTTAATAATAAAATCCTTAAATTTATATTGAAAGCTCTAATTTGTCTTAAGAGTATTATTTCTAATTCTAAAAATTCATCCAAGACTATTTATACGAAAGAGAAAAATAAATCAGTTACAGAAGGTTTTTTGAAATCCTAAAATGATGAATTAAAGAAAAAATGAATGCTCACATGAACAGATATGTGGACTTGCCAAAAACCAAATCGCTCTAGGCTATGTGCACAGTGGAAAAAAAAAGAGAAAGGGAAGGAGAAGAAGTGCATCGGCGCAGAATAGAGAAAGAGCCTAAAAATGAAACGGCATCGTGTCACTTAAAGTTTAAAAGGGGACTGCTAAAATACATTACAATAAAAGTAAATGTGTAAAAGGAATATATTTAGCACTATTCCAATTCTGCATAGTCATTCCGTTAGCAATTTTTTATTTGTGGTACAATATTTCGTGAACATTTTTAAACATACAAATGATATTGATTTAAAAATAATTAAGGTTAATATTTTAATAACTTAAATATGAGGGGCTATTTGATTCATTTTTGGAACCGGATGCGATCGTTTTCTCATAGCAGAACTATAAATATTTTCCAAGATAAAAATTTAGGAGTACGAGGTTAGTTTATTAACATCTAATGTAAAATGTTTCATGTGATTAAGTTATATTTATAAAAATGATGTCACGTGTTCCGCATAAACATTAATATTTGATAACTTCTTTTAAGAATGGTATTGGGTGGAATGAATTTTCAAGAGAAGAAATTGAGTTTTTACTCCATGTTTACATAATTGATTGGTTGAAGATTTCAAGAACGTTCTTTGGTGCTAGTCAG